CAGCACTAATAGTATTTATCACAACAGGTATTGGAATTTTAAGTTTTGATTGATGTTCAAAACGATAATAAAAGGAATATATTTCGGAAACAATCAGAACTTAAATTCTTGTCGCTTTTTTTAGGATGCTAGCTCAAAGTTTAAAGCTATCTATATTTAATTTTTTTATTAAAATTTGCCCAACATTTTTTATTAAAATTTGTCTAATATAATTTTAATTTGATGCTGCAATGCAGGAAAATGGCCCTTTTTACTTAAAAATATGTTTTGGATCTATATTCTCAAATAAAAATGAATATTAACAATTCAAATTAAATTGCAAATATAATGCGCATTATTTTCGAAGCTTATTATATGTGAAAATTTTGTTTTATATCATTTTTATCATTCAGTTTATTTTTCAACATATTTCAACGCTCTTATAGTCCTTCATATCGGTTAGTCTTTGTTCCGTGTCTCTGAAACGGATGGACCAATTTCTGCCAAAAACCGATCAGCGCGGTCTCCTTATCAATGGAAATCGAATGTTTTTTGAACAATTCAAATCGGTTGAGCGGTGCTCCCGAAAACGTCCACGAAAAGTTGTATCCACACCTACATACATACTATATACACATTTTAAATAGTATAATCTGTTTTCTCACAAACTTAATTGACATTATTTTCACTCCATGATTCGTGTCTCTGAAACGGATGGACCAATTTTTGCCAAAAACTGATCAGCGCGTCTCCTTATCAATGGAAATCGAATGATTTTTGAACAATTCAAATCGGTTAATCGGTGCTCCCAACGTTCACGAAAAGTTGTATCCACACCTACATACATACTATATACATATTTTAAATAGGATAATCAGTTTTCTCACAAACTAAATTGACATTATTTTCACTCCTTGATTCGTGCTTCTGAAACGGATGGAACAATTTTTGCCAAAAACTGTTCAGCGCGTCTCCTTATCAATGGGAATCGAATGCTTTTTGAACAATTCAAATCGGTTAAGCGGTGCTCCCAAAAACGTCCACGAGAAGTTGTATCCACACCTACATACATACTATATACATATTTTAAATAAGATAATCAGTTTTCTCACAAACTAAATTGACATTTTTACTCCTTGATTCGTGTCTGTGAAACGGATGGACCAGTTTTTGCCAAAAACTGATCAGCGCGTCTCCTTATCAATGGGAATCGAATGCTTTTTGAACAATTCAAATCGGTTAAGCGGTGCTCCCAAAAACGTCCACGAGAAGTTGTATCCACACCTACATACATACTATATACATATTTTAAATAGGATAATCTGTTTTCTCACAAACTAAATTGACATTATTTTCACTCCTTGATTCGTGCTTCTGAAACGGATGGACCAATTTTTTCCAAAAACTGTTCAGCGCGTCTCCTTATCAATGGGAATCGAATGCTTTTTGAACAATTCAAATCGGTTAAGCGGTGCTCCCAAAAACGTCCACGAAAAGTTGTATCCACACCTACATACATACTATATACACATTTTAAATAGGATAATCTGTTTTCTCACAAACTCAATTGACATTATTTTCAATCCTTGATTAGTGTCTTTAAAGCGGATGGACCAATTTTTGCCAAAAACTGATCAGCGCGTCGCCCTATGAATGGGAATCGAATGCTTTTTGAACAATTCAAATCGGTTAAGCGGTGCTCCCAAAAACGTCCACGAAAAATTGTATCCACACCTACATACATACTATATATAAACATACAAGCATCCATTATTTCTAAGGTATGCCGAAATGTTCAGAAACCTCTAAAACGTGAAGATGTGCCAAAAAATCATTTTCGATTTTTGGTCTATTACTATAACTTACCATGATTTGGAGTTTAATTATTAAACTTATTGCTTTTTAAATAACTGCCGGATAGTCTGGAATTTTTGATAGTCGAACCGACAAGCTGGACTAAAGGACTTCTACTGTATCTTGTATCAGCAGAATAGATGACGTAGCTATGTAATAATTATAAATACTTAAAACACTTTCATTTCCTATATCTTATCTGACTATATTTAAGTTGTCTATATTCTTATCTCGCACTATAGTATCTATTCATCCCTTTGTCTTCGAGAGCAAGAGTGGAAAATTATGTTGCCCGTATTTCGCGCAGGTCGCCAGACGGCTGTAAACCAATAATCACTCCAGAGATGGCGCGGCGAGAGAATACAGGTTTGAATCCCCAAGGGGGCCATTTGGCGTAACCACACACCAGTAGTTATCGCAAGATGTCAGTTCTCTAAGTACGTGGGAATGTATGAATTCATCGGCGTGTGCGTGTACGTGTGCCTGTGTGTTTTTATCAGAATTCGAGGTGTGCGGATCATTACATTTAGCCTTAAGACAGGTGGGAATATTGGGGTTGCATTTATGGTAAGACTGGTAAGAGAGAATATAAATGATGGATATTAATTGGTATACGAAAGAAGGGTTTCTAATTGTTCACTTCTTAAGGTACGTTACAAACTAGTGGTAAATGGCATCGTGCCTTAAGGCAAATTGTTAGCCTTAACTTTCTGTACGAATTTTTTTTAAAAAAAGCTTTAAAATTCTATTATTTAAATATAGATTTTTTTGAACTTCGAAATGTTTAAGAAAACTTGCCTATTTTGTTTTTTTATTTTGTCATAGTTTTTTTCATAAAAGTTATGAAGCTGCGTAGAGATGAAATATTGAAGCGTGTAAGTATTGAAGCCCCGCGTCGTAGACTAACAAATAAAGATTAGTATTGAACCCATATAAACATAAACGAAATTCGTACTATGTTCAGACGTCTTTTTGTTTTATTATATTGGCCATAATGGTGACAAACTTCAGGACATTAAGCTTCACACGGAATGGTTGCTACCCCTGGTAGAGGGGGTAGCGGAGTGTTTTAATTGAACTAGTTGTTCACTTCTAAAAGTAAAGTTCGCTTATTAACATGTAAATAACCAATAAAAATAAATATATCTTCTTTCATTATAACTTAGTAACAAATCAGTGATTGTAATTAGAACTGCAACAAATACATAATATACAAACAAATCAGTGTTTAATACAGTCCATAGCTACAAAGATTAAATTATAACCCAACAACCTGAATTATCGAAGGAGAGTTTTAATAAATTCTATAGCTACGTAACAAAAGTACATACTATATTATTAAAATCTCTGATAATTTGATGTACATATGTCTAATGATCTTTTTTGATTGTCCAATGACATTTTTTTTTGCTCTTTCCATTGGATCTCTGAAACCGCTAAACCTTCCTACTTAAAAATTTGATCAGTTCTTCATTTTTTCAATACAAGTAAAATGTTTTTTGTATTACTAATATTGAATGCTCCGTTCTCTCAAAAACTGAATTACCATTATTCGCACTTAATTCCTTGTGTCTTCAAAACGGCTGGACCTGTCTCTGCCAAAAACTACTCAACATGTCTCTTGATCAATAGAAATCGGATGTTTTTGAATCCTTAAAATCGATCGACCCGAAAATGTCGAAAAATATATCTTTTGAATTAAAATTTTTCTTTATTCTATAACTTCATCATACAGGAATACTGATATGGTTTTATTTATATGTATGAAAATATTAGAAGTGTCAGTATTCAATGAATAAATTAACTTATTAATAAGATGTTAATTAAACCATGTTTTAACTGAACTACGCTTTTTATGATCATTATAAAATAATAAATTACAAAAATAATCCCACACTGTGAGTTTTCTAACTGTTACAAAAATGCTATAATTTCACAAATTTCTAATTTCTAATTGTAACAAAAATACTATAATTTCATTGAACTTTAAAAGACAAGAAAATCATTCTAATCTCAACTATTTCCTATTTTCAGTGTGATTGGGCCATAATTTTGTAACAAACTACAGAATTAGTGTTTTGGAAACCCATTATAACTTTAAATAAATCTTATAATAAATAGGGAGCGCACCAAACCATGCTCTCGAGGCTATTTTTCTAGCTTCACTAATTACTGTTCAATCCTGATTTATCAACATGAGTGGAGAAATAATGGTTTCGATTCAGAATTGTAAAGAAAAATTTAATGCATTACTTTGACCTAATTAGATTTTATTTGTATCAACAACTAAGGTAAACGACTTTTATTTAATACGCCTACAGTTTCAAACTAATTTTGGTTAATTTATCAAATATTTTTAACTTCATTTTACAACTTTTTCATTTCATTGATTTTTGTATATTTACACTAAAACTATTCTTTTTTGCTCAAAATATTTTACTGAACATATAATTATAAAACACCGCTACTTCATATTGTAGAAATGTGTTTTCTTGTTGTTCATCGAAAATTTGTTATCTGGTCCTTTTTACTCCATACGGTATGAAATAGGACAAACTCTTATTTTTAGCATTAAAAAAACTCTGAGAAATAATAGCTACAATAAGTTCCATGGGCATATTTTTTACTGATTTATTGGCGTTTCGTCAAAAATAATCATCAGCAGAGTTGGAATAACTAATTATTTAATTTATCTCTTATGAAATTGCTTATATATTGAATAATCAAAAACTATATAGCGTCTTTTTCACGTGAAATTAAATAAATAAAATTACGCAGAGAACCCCTTAATCAGCGCGATTCCCAACAGAGACTTTAGTACATTTTTCTCACTTCTAAAGTCGGTTTTCTACGGTAACGTGAGCGACTTTCCTACTAATTATAAAGAAATAGGCGAATGTTGCTCAAAACTATCCAACGTAAGTATTTATCTAGGTATACCGAGTGGTTTTTAAAGATTTAAAATCGTTTCGGTCGTTTTTTGAAACACGTTTACGTAAGGTCAAAAAATCGACTCACATACATAGGCACACAGGATGATTTGAAATATTGAGAAAAACAAAGTTAGCAAAGCGGATTTTCCGGCAAAAACTTAAAATTCTTGTTTGTGGTTAATAATACAAATTCTATATTTAAAGAGCTAAAAGTGGTTCAACAGACCTTGAGGACATATGACTCCAACACACAGGTATTTAGGGCTGCATCTCGTGAGTTGCACCATCTCCAGAAAGCACATCCAAATAATAGCCAACTGAAAAAAAAATTGTTTAATTGAAATCAAATATTTCATGAAAATCGCTGAATGCATTCCCTCTGAAATCTCTAGAGAGATAATTCAAATCTGAAAGAACTGCTGCAGTCCATTTCATTATTATTCAGATTTTTACACTTTTATATAAAAGCTTCGGAGACAAAGTTAACAATAGGCGTTTGGATTATATTTCTTTTCCTTATTCAAGAAGCAATGCAAATTAGAATAACTTTACGGAAAATATATATACGTGGACGCCGACGAAGTTGCAGGTGTTAAGATGGGCGACAGTGGATATAATATTCAACATATCATTAAAATTTGCGTAACATCGAATGCATAACATTTTTATTTTATTATAAATTTTATGATTAAAACTAATGTAAAATATATGTGAGGTTTGGACAAATTCGAAGTGGTTAGTATCAGGATTCAAATTAAATTTGACAATATAATTGATAAAACATAATAAATGCACAGGATATGAAAATTGTTTGTAGTATTCTACACCATTCAAAATTATAAAAAAATTAGCATAATCTTTCATTAAATTAAAATAAAATCCAGATTATTTTCTGTATTCAAAAAAGTACATCGTTTCGTCGACACAAGCAAAAAGTTTTTTGAATCATTCAAATCGGATGCTCAAAAACTGTCATTTTTTACACATTTAGCTCCGTATATTCGAAACGGCTTGCGCTATTTTTGACAAAAACTAATTGCCACTTCTATCCATCATTACGAATTGAATATTTTTTTAATCATTACAATCGGATATCCTGTTCTCGCAAAAACCGAGTTTTCATTTTCTGCACTCTTTGCTTTGTATCTTAGAAATGGCTGGACCAACCTTTCCCAGAAACTAATCAGCATTAGTTCCCATTCGTAAGAAGTACTCCCGAAAACGTAGACAAAAAATGTATCCACACATACATACACACACAAACACATCCATTTTGTCTGAGATATGCCAAAATGTTCAGAAACTTCTGAAACGTGAAGATATGCAAAAAAAATATTACCGTTTGAATCTAATATGAATATTTTTACTACCAACACCGATACATTTCACAAATTTTCTATATATCTATATAGAAACATAACTCGGCGAATTAAGAGAAAAAGAACTTGCTAATTTATCGCCGGCTCTAAATATGCTAAATAGTTCGCGAAAGAAGAAGTTATATCCGAGCGGATTTAGATTACTTATGTAAATCAAGCGGAGATATTAAAATATATTAATTGGATACTTTTCGAAACTCCAGTTTATACGTAGCTGCTTAAAAATACATTGTGCTATGCAATAATATATCTGCATACATATTGCATAATTATCTGACAGAGAGATAACTATCAGAAAATTGGTAACTGTAATTAACAAACTTTTTAAATATAAAGCGAATATACTATAGTAGAAGATGTAGCATATAATTGAAAAAATAGAAGTTCATTTAATGCGTAAATATAGAAACATCTATAAAAATCATAAACTATAATGATTTTAAATGCAGATTTTTCAAGTCTATATTATAATTCAGTAGTTAGTTTTCTCTGTGTTGAAATGTACGATTAATTTCTTCGAGGGTAAATAATAACTGAAGTAAAGATTTATAAAACATCTTTATTTTTTTATACGTTTAGACGTAAAATTCTACGTCATCATCAGTGGTTTTGAACTTCTCTCGTGTGTAAAGAACTATTTTGTGTAATAAAGCACTAAGTATTAGTAGTCCTTTTTTTTTAAATATAAAATATTTTTAGAAACAAAATGAGGAGAGATATCAATCATCCGAATCACTTTTCAGATCAACATCAAATGTAAAAAAATAATTTGAGTCAAGATTTTTAAAGCATCTTTTTTTTCGTTTCGACGTAAAATTCTACGTCATCATTGATGGTATTGAACTTCTAAGACTAACACTGAAGCATAGTAATGACATTTGATATGTAAGTAATTATTAATGATTAGGATAAATCATTCATTAAGTGTGTCAGTGCTCACTTTTTTAAATATAAAACATTTTTTAGAAACTAAATGAAGAGATATGTCGATCATCCGAGGCACTTCTGTGTCGGATAATAATACATACCTATACATATAAGTAATTATTATTATTATTAAATAATTAAATAATTATCATATTTATAATATTTTGTTCCTTGATACGATCAGCTGAGCCATTTCTTTAGAATAAGCATAAAATGCAAAATTTTTCGTCTGCGTTTTAGCTAAAAATAATGTATTCAAAACGTGTTATTTAAAAATCGGGCTGATTAGTTTGGGACAAAGATTACAAAGAAAGTTTCTTTGTAGTTGATTGTTCAAAAAAAAAAAAAAAATATGGCGCATCTAATGAATCTTGGTATAACGATAGAATACCTGGCCTTAATGAACATACTAAAATATCTTACTCCTACAAAAAATGCTTCAAATATAAAAACTAATTAAAATTCAATTATTAACTTTCCGTAGGATAAATTATCGAATTTGCAAAAAAAATTAAAATGAAGTATATTTAGTATATCTTCACGTTTCAAATGATTCTGAAAATTTTGGCAAATCATAGAAAAAATGGATGTATGTGTACATGTATGTGCGGATATTATTTTAGTTGGAAAGGCAAGTCTACCGATTCCGAATTATCATTAGTCATATGCACATCATATTATCAGATATTTTATAGAGATTATAACAATAACTGCAAATTTTGTGTATATTGCGTACTAATGTTTACACGTCAGACTATGACGAGGCGCTAACGCGCTTCGATATTTCGACTCTAAAACAGCTATGAAGCAAAATTGCTTCAAAAAAGTTAAATTTTTTCAATAGATTTAAAATAAAAAAATTCATTAAAATCGTCATTTTTTTTTTCAAAAATTATAAAAAAATTATTTTTTCAAAGTTTTGAATTAATTTTAAAGTTTTTTTCTAATTCTAATTTTAGTTTTCGGTTCGAAAAACTAAGGCACGATGCAACGCACCACTTGTGCAAACATGTGTGCGTTTTCCAATAATGTGTAATACAAAAATTTGTTCAAAGTTGAAAAACCTGCAATAGTTTCTCACATTATGTTCTAGTGCTACTCGGTATGCTTATAGATAACTTAAATTATAATAATATATTGACTATATTAAATTATTATATAGGGCAATTAATTACACATGTCGCAAACTTTATAAATGCTGCCTTAAGGCAAAATGCAATCCACAACTAGTTTCATTTGCGATTCCTTTCCCCAAAGACAGACTTTTTACTTAATGCACATTGGCTTTTTCGTCTGGATGGGATGGCTCGTTCTACGTGCAACAATTGGAATTCCATCAAACGATTCAACGCGCGTTCGACTTCCGATGGAGTCTTTCATTATGTCTTTCTGACTAGAAGTCTCTGGTTAGAATCTAATCGGGCACTGAAAACAAAGTTCACTGCTGAGGTAAACAAAAGCTTTCAAAGTCAACAAATACTAGCTGAACAGAACAGAACGACGCAGTTCAATCTACAAAATAAGATATCTACCGTCGGGGAATAGTCGGAGGAAAAACTTATAAAACTGGTGATGAATGGCATCGTGTCTTAAGGCAAATTGCTGGAACTTTCCGTACCGTGATAAAATTCAAGGAATCTCAAATGTTTTCAAATAGATTCGTGCATTTATTATTCGTATTTTATTGGCAAAATGAAGCCAATATATAATTATATAATTTATGAGCAAAGTGCTTATAAACTGGATAAAGACGTTTATATTTACATGAAAACTAAATGAACAAAACTTAATCAAGCGTTAGAATGAAGTTGAGTGACTTAGAATGAAGGATCTTATCTCATATTTATAAGAATTATATACACTGTTGCAAAGTTAAAATTATTTATTTAAAGTATATAAGTGAGCTTTTGAATTTAAGCCAGAACTAAAATAAAATCCGAAGCATTTTCAATATTCAAAAATGATTTTTTTTTTTGGAAATTAAAAGAATAAATTGAAATTTTGAAAAAAAACCTTTATTTTCTCTAACCAAAAACAATAGTTTCGTCGACACAAGCAATTTTAGATCATTCAAATCAGATGCTTCTTTCTCTCAAAAACTGCAATTTTTTGCACATTCAGCACCGTATCTTCCAACCGGCTGGACCTGTCTTTGCCAAAAACTAATCACCACTTCTCTCGGTCATTATTAGATTATTAGATGTCTTTTGAATCAAAACTCGATTTCAATTTTCTGCACTTTTTGCTTTGAGCCTCCAAAACGGCTGTACCTATCTTCACAAAAAACTAATCGGAACGTCTTCCCATCAGTAGAAATCGAATTTTTTTTAAATCATTCAAATCGGTTGATCCGTACAGTGAAACGTAGATAATAATTATATTCATACATATGCACGCACACACACAAACACGTATATAAATCAATTTCTTCTAAGGTATACCAAAATGTTCAGAATCCTTTGAAACGTCAATAATCATCACCTTTTAAATAAGTTTTAAAATAAAATAAAAAAATGTTTAATATATATGATATTTTGGAATATTAACTATTGCTATAGACTACTATATTATTATGGGTAGATATTGTATTATATTAGTAAAGTTTTTTTTTAATCTTTTGACCAAAATTCTCTGGAAATTAATTTATAAAAAAACGTTATGTTTTGAAGAAGTATTATATGTTTATATTTAATTTAAAATAAATTATTATTTTGATTTTTCATGAAAAACTATAACAAAAGGCAAACATAATAGTATGCTTATAATTATATAATAAAAAAATATGTCTAATGAATATAATAAAAAATAATTAAGTTCAATGAAATACCCATCAATAATATTTACTGCAGAATTAATCCAAAAACCTATTAATTATAATTAGAGACATAATTCTAACAATATATGGAACCTTTGATAACAACTACAACGGTATTATGAACCAAAATCGTATGGCGATCGCAATAAACCAATTTACTGACAAATTACATTATTATCTGGAGCTGAGATTCATT